AGATTGTAGGACTCAGCATACACTGGGAAAAAAGCAGTCCTCTTTTCTGTGGGTTGGTGTGTAGCACGGATGACTTTACATGATCATTCCAAGTGAAGTCTGTGGCTCAGGAAACCACACATTCTGGTAAATTGTATGCTCAACTATTAACTCAGGAAGGGGACAACAAGGAATTATGTGTGAGTCTGGCATCCCAAGGTCACCGAAGGACATTACTGATTAGGTTCAGGATCTCAGTGTTTTGGGTCATTTGAAGAAGTAATCTCTTTCTGTCAAATGGGTGGGTCAGTCTCAGGGTGGGGATTTGTCATAGGAGGAGAGAGGAACTAGAAGAGGATGGATACCCCTAAAAGGATAAAACTTTCCCATGACTATTTTCATCTTTGCCCTGGTCTCACAGGCTAGCAAACTAGGTTGACTCAGACTACATTTCTGGACTGGCTTTACAGAATTCCTGTGGAATGAGGCCGGTATAAATAGATAGAAAAAAATCCTTATTAAAGAAATACCATTTGCTTAGCTGAAATATTAGGTTTTATTTTTAACCTTTACATTAATGAAATGTTCTTCCAAAAAATCCAGTAAGCTAGTCAGAACCAAAATTTTAAAATATCAAATTAACCTCAGAATAGACCAATTTTATCTACTACCCAGAAACCATGGGAAAACACTGGTGTCTCTCTCCACCTTCCAGAACAGACTGACTACTACCTTCCAGACTTAGGAAGGCTCTTAGTCATGAGGTAAGTCATGAGGTAAGACAGGGCCAGCAGAAAATGTTGGGCAGGTTGCACCCTCCCCAAGGGTGCCCAACTAATAAGGTAGAGTCCAGGCTGAAATTCATTCTTCAGCTGCTCTGGTGAGGCTGCAACAGCCTACAGAAAGAAAAGTTATTTTTTCTCACTGTTCCACTGGAATGGGCCCTTCTCTGCAATTTGTCTGCCCCCAGGTGGCATGCTTTTCTAATTAGCACAAAAGCAATGTATGAGCTAATGGTGGCCTTGAAAATTAACACAGAGTTCTCAGATCCATTGCCTGTCCTTTGAAGGCTGGGACCATAAATATTCTGTCTGGCCTTGGGCCTTGGAACCAAACATTGACCTAAGCTATTTTTCCATTCCAGTTGAAACAGACTGTGAAGACAGCAGTTCAGCTATACATTCAAAAGAGGAGTAATTCCCATTTTCTGAGAACCCACTAGTAAGTGGAGGTGGCAGGGGAAAATTCAAATTTGAGGCAGTAGCATGACATAATGGGAAAAAGCCTGGGCTTGGTCTGCCATTTACTTACTGAGTGTTTAACTTCTCTGGGCTTCAGTGAGGATTCGCTAAGGTAACAGATGTAAAAAGCTGGGCACAGTGCTGTGTGGCACACAAGAGGCATTCAGTTCCTATGCCTTTTTCTGTTACCACCCTGACTCCAAAGTTAATTCACACTGTTCACATGCTTGGCCTTGAAACCTCACTCAGTAAAGCATAAGGATGGGTATACTAGACAGAATGTTAGAGCAAGAGTCAGGAGATGTGGGTCCCAGTGCCAGACATATCCCCTATCACAGTACCTTGGGTAAGTTACCTCCCTCTCCTGACACCATCAGTAAAACAGGAGAACACCCCTAGCTCTGATGCTGAGAGAAAAAAGCAGACATCACTTTTCTTGGGCATCTGCCATGAGATATGCGCCGTGTTAGGCCCTTTTACATACCGTATATCCTCTAAATCAGCACTGTCCAGTAGAACTTTTTGTAGTGGTGGAAATGTTCTATATCTGCACTGTCTAACATGGTAGCCACTAACTGTAAGTAGCTATCGAGCCCCTGGAATGAGACTAGTGCAACTAAGGATCTACATTTTAAAATTTCACTGCATTTAAATTTAGCCACATATGACTAATGGCTATACTATTGGATAGTGTGGCTCTAAGATTATGAAATAGAAATATTTGTTCCTATTTAATATGTGACACTGAGGCTTAGAAAAGTTAAATAACTTAAAGTCACTTAACAAGTAAATAACTAAACCAGATTCAAAGCCAAAAAGTAGAAAGCTTAGTAAAATAATATGGGCAGATATGCCAGGAATTATCCAGGCTCCGCTATTTACAAGTTATATGACCAAAGAAAAATAATTACACACTGCAGAATGCACTTTCATTATCTATAAAATGATGATATCATCCAATTTGCAGGCCTATTGTTGAGATTAATGGGTGTGTAGAGTGTGTGGCCCATAACAGGTTTTCAACAACTGTTTCCTCACCACCCTGATAACTTCAACACACATAGAAGAGATTTAGACATATGGCTGGGTGCAGTGACTCCTGCCTGTAATCCCAGCACTTTGGGAGGTGAGGCGGGTGGATCACCTGAGATCAGGAGTTCAAGACCAGCCTGGCCAACATGGTGAAACCCCATCTCTACTAAAAATAGAAAAATTAGCTGGGCGTGGTGGCGCATGCCTGTAATCCCAGCTACTCGGGAGGCTGAGGCGGGAGAACTGATTGAACCGGGGTTGGGGGTAGGGGGAGGGAAGGGCGGAGATTGCAGTGAGCCAAGATCGCACCACTTCACTCCAGCCTGGGTGACAGAGCGAGACTCAGTCAAAAAAAAAAAAAAAAAAAAAAAAGAAGAAGAGATTTAGACATAAATAAAAAAGGCAATTGCAGAGTAAAGAGAACATTGTTTGGGGAATTAAAAAACAAGAAAGAAAACATTCAGAAGCTTTTACGTGATATCCTATTATAGAATGGAGATGAGGAAGGGTATGAGTAGGAAACACCGAAATATTTCCACTTACTTGGTTTCCTTTCCTGCACTCTTCTTGACACTCCAGTCAACATTAGCCAAAGCAGGGAACAAGTTATTTCTAATGTATTTTGAGGCTTGGAAAGACAAGTCATTATGGTTACACAACAGAGTACTATTAGGGGCTTGGGCTAGAGGCAGGTGAAGTTCAAATCCTGGTTCCCATACTTGTTGTGTGCACTAAGAAAATAATTTGACATCTCTACACATTAGTTTTCAATCTGTAAAATAGGACTGATAATATGGATGGTGTGTGAAAACATATACTGTGCATCATTTATTATTTTGCTTTACATTCTGTAGCACCCTCTAGTGGTGTATACAAAAATATGCATTGCATTTCTACTCTCCAAAGCAGTGGTTCTCAAACTTCAGTGTGTGCTGGAATCACTGGGATAGTTTGTAATAACACAGATTACCAAACCCCACCGTGCGAACTTCTGATTCATTAAGTTTGAGGTGGGACCTGAGAATGTGAATTTCTGACAATTTTTCAGGTGATGCTGATGTTTCTGGTACATCCAGGAAACACATCTTGTGAACCACTGCTCTAAAAAAATCCCTCTTGTGTACAAGTATATAAGATAGATAATTGAAAGGGGTATGATTTTTGTTGTTTGACTTTGATCTAGTACTGCTCATCTAATAAGGACTTGGTGATAAATTAAAAAAAAATCGACAGGAAGGATATAACACAGCATCTAAAATATAGAAAGCATACAAAAAACTGAGGATCACAGAACATAAATCATTTGCCCAGGGTACTGAGACTAGTAAGTGGTGGAATGAGGTTAACAATTAAGTCTCTTTCTCTTACTCCAAAGACACAATAAAGTCTACCAATACCACTACAGAAAATAGGGTGCAAACACACATATCTGATACAAATTTCAAGAGAAAAGGAAAATCAGTTTTCAATACCAGGGTCCAAGTTTTACTGATGAGTTCTTATCTCTTTACTAAAGTAACAGCTATCTGTATTTTCAGTTTGGGTGAGTTGCGAGCATTTGAAAAGGTGAGGAAAAAGGGTTAGGATCTTCAGCATCAGTGCTTGGGTCATTCATTAACTCTTTGATTAAACAAGGCAAGGACAAAAGAAGCGAGGGATGGAGAGGGGCCTTCCCCCCCGCCCCCCCACCCAAGGAGAAAAGGAAAGAAATGAGTAAAATTATTTGGATCTTGGGTCACAGTTCCCTGCCTACTAGTGCTATTCACAGAAGCTGATTTTATTTTTTCCTAGGAATGAACGATATCAATGATGCCTTAGATATTAGCGTTCAGCAAATCAAGAAAGGGGAGGGGGGAGGGAAACAAAATCCCAGAATCCCAGGGACCACACAGCCAATCCTTTGCTGGGATTTGGCGGCATCTAGTGGCGAACTCGAGAGGTATAAACCTTACCCACAGAACTTTCTGGAAAATTAACAGTGCGTATTTGCCTGAAGAAGGTCAGTGTGCTTGCTTGGAGATCAGGACGCAAAGGTAAGAGCGCCCTAGTCACCATAAAAATCCGGAGTCTCTAACGGAGGGGAAGGCTGTCATAGATAGATATTCTCATAGGAAAATTGTATTTGTGCCAAGAGAACTGCACGCAACCTTGAAGGGAGGGGGGAGGTGTGGAAGAGGGGAGGGAGGAGGATACTAGACAACTTGAAAGAAGTCTCCCTTTGGAGTTGCTAATGTGACGATGGAAGGCTTTGGCTCTGAATCATTGGAGGGCTGTGGTTTACGACCGGATTTTGGCACAGAGGAGTATTTAAATCAGGGAAAGCCAAAATATTTCTGACAGTGCCCCTTTATCTCTGTTATTGTCGCCTTGCCTTAATTATTTATTTTCATTTTCATTAGAACATTTTCAAACAAAATACAGAAATAGATAACCTGCGCGCAGTAGCTAACCCCTCCCCGCAACTCCCACCCCAATCACGCACGCGGGCGCGCGCCGTGGCTCTCACCAGTCCAGACGCCAGGGGCGCACGCCTGCGCAAACACATCACCTCCAGCGCCACGAGGGCCGCTCACACAGCAACCCCAGGGGCACTCGAGCCTGCCCGCGCACTAACACACTGGCCTTAATGCCTTGCGCCCGTTGCACTCACGACCCTAACTCGCAAACACAGCAGAACCCCCCACTGCGCCTTTTTTTTCCATGTTCGGGGAGTTGCGCCACAGGCCTGGGGGCGTGGCTCCAGATTTGACCTCGCGCTTCCCCACTCGCGGGAACCTTAGCTCATTTCCGCCTATTTCCGCAGGCCACGTAGACACTTCCTCTCCCAGTGGGGGGCTGGGGGGAAACACAAACCCATAATGCCTCCCTGCAGGAAAAAAATTAAAAAAAAAAAAAAAAGGAAAAGGAAAAAAAAAAAAAACCTTCTGGTCAGAGGAACTCTGGGTCGTGAAATAGGCCACGTGAACATTCTGCCCTATAGACTTATGACCCAACGGCTGTCACGCTTTTGGAGGGCGGGCTAAAAACCTAAGAGGGCGAACGTCATTGGCCGGAACTCGCACTGACGGAGGAAGAGGATTGGTTTGCTGTAGGCCTTAACAGTGAAGAAGCAGGTTGCTAGCACCCGCCTTTACTGCGGCGAAGTGTCATTGCTGACGTGGGGGTGGTTGTCCAATCATTTGGTTATGGAACATTCTAAAACTTAGACAAGACGATTGTGATTGGCTGAAGGGCATACGCCCTCCTCCAGGGTGACGTGTCTGCCTATGGATATCAGTTGCCAGAGAAACCTGGCTTTACTATGGCGGTTGGAGGAACGGCAGTGATCACACGTCGTCTGCTGGGAAGATCTGGATTCTCGTTTCAGGTTTCGGGGTGGGGGTGGGGAGAAAGGGTCGATGATTTCCTCTTTTCGTCGGGTATAGACGGGATTAGCTAGTTCCTTCACAATCGGTCAGAGCTGGATTCAGATTCCTGCTCGCCAACGCCCAGCTTGGGCAAGGCTCCTGTTCTTTCTGTGTCTCGGTTTCCATGTTTGTAAAATGGTGATAATAATAGTATCTACCTCAGAGACGTGTACTGTATAATGGTGCGTATAAGGCACGTAATATGAAGCCTGGCCCCTGAAGATATTAGCTATTGTTATGGAGATAAATAATACACGTAATAGAATGAGAAAAATTATAAATTATATAAATTCGCTAATTGTAGTGCCCTTTCTGCCATCAACTTCTTTCCTAGAATAAATTAAAGATAAAAGAGATATATCAATTTTTACCAATGAAATAATTTGCTCTTTGGGAATTGCCTCAAAATTGCAGAGATTGTAATTTTCCCATGTTGAAAAGTTAAATAAAAGGTGGGGGGGTGGAGTGCGAGAAAGAAAGAGATGGAGAACGAGAGCGAGCTGGAGATGAACCACATGCGATGAGTAGGCCTTGTTTGGATCCTGAATCGAACACACCAACTGTAAAAATATGTTTAAGACGCATCGGGAAAATTGGAACATGGATTCGATATTTGATGTTTTTTAAGGAATTGATGTCAATTTTTTTAGGCGTCACAGTAGTATTGTGATTATGTTTTCAAATTGTCCTTTTTTGTAGAGACATATACGAAAATATTTACGGATTAAATAATATAATGTCTGGGATTGGCTTCTAAATACATTAATGACTAGGATTTGCTTCAAAATAATCTAAGCGGTAGGGGGAAATGGGGAGGGGTATAGATGAAACAAAATTGACCCTAAATTAATAATAGTTTTTGCTGAGTGATAGGCAGTGGGTTCCGTATATTAATCTGCTTTCCTTGGTATACGTTTAAATTTTTGTATAATAAAATACAGAAGTCAGATATTCCCGTGAGCTTGAAAAAGTCGGGGGTGGGGGGGAGCAGTGGGTGGGGTTATAGATGAAACAAGATGGCCTTCAGTTGGTAATTGTTGAAAGCTGGATGATGGATTCGTGTAGGTTTGTAATACTATTCTTTTATTTCATCCATTTGAAATTATCTTTAAGGAAAAGTTAAAAAAATTGTCAGAAATTATATAAATATACAATAAGTTAAATTTGAAAATGTAGCCACAAGAAAGGAAAAAGAAATACTTGTACATTATTTATCAGCTTTGGTGTCCTTTGTGTGTGATGAAATTGCATTGGCTGATGTAGAAGAAAGCCATATCTCATATCTTTTTATTTTATGTCCTTTCCTGTCCTTTTGTTTGACCTTCTAGGTCACCATCAGAAAAGCTAAGTTTGCTGTATAGTGAGGATCAGGAGGTCTGATCCTGATTGCAGAACCTTCCCTGATTACAGAATCTTGGGTAAGTGCCTCCCTTCTGGCCTCAGTTCTTAAACAAGATAATACCATATAACCTTCCTAACTGTCCAGGAATATTTTGAAAATTAATAAGCTCCTATCTGGGAAAGTAGTCTAAATTCTGAGAAGAGAAGGATGGGGCTAAGTCCATTGGTAGTTTCAGTATAGAAAGTACATAAGCAACAGAGGACTGTGTAATCTTACATCTCTTGATAAAAGATATTACAGTCAATCCCCTGTAGTAGTTCCACGGTTCCATATATTACATTTTTCTTTGGAGCATCCTATATGCAGCATAGTTTAGTGGTTAAGAGCAAATACTTCCTGAATTTAAATCCTGGCTCTGCCACTTAACTATGTGATCTTGGGTAAGATACTTACTCACTTTATACCTAAGTTCCTCATATATGAAGCAGAGATGATAATAATAGTTCCTACTTCGTAGGATTGTTGAGAGCATTACATGTAAAGTACAAGGACAGTGCATGGCACATATAAGTATTTGCTTTAATAATAATTATGGTTCTGTTAGTCCTGATAATCTCCTGTTTTATCTACACATTTACACCTACTTCTAAAAGCAGTGGATATCTCTTTTTGGAATTGTGTAAAAATAATAATAATTAATACTGTTGGTTTCTCTCCTCGTTTTCCAGAAGCAGCAGTTACCACTAGAACTGAATTCCGAAATTATGACTTCTGGCTTGTCTTAACAATCTAGAAAGGTTTTAAGTATATTGATCATATTTATTTATGAGAAAATTTCCAGGAGCTATAATTTTAGCTAGCAGTTCAAACCAAATTTATAAATAAGCAAGTCTTTTCACTGAATATTCAGTCTGCTAACAGCTTTTACATCATTCCTCCTTTGTCTCAGACTTAAAAAAAATCTATTAAATGTAATGGAAATGTTTCAAGATCCAGAAGAGAAAATTGATATGAATGTAACTGATATGGTATATGTGCATTTAAAGGTTTATTCCAACAAAATGTTATTCACACTCTTTTCTGACATATGCATACACAAAAGATGTTAGCATTTGCAGTCTGATTCCCAAATGACACATTGCTTGTGTGGAGAGATGAAGTAAGGTTTGAAGGTTTTTCAACCTTTTGACAGCTACATATGGAGTCACTGTAATTTCCTTTTTTTCCTCCCTTCTGAAAAGTAGGTTTCAGCAGGTAGGTTTCAGAGGAGGGCCCTGCCCTCGTGGAAGAGATGCATTAGATCGGTAGGCACCGAATACCTTTACATGAGACCATTTAGAGAATGATTAGGGGCTAAAGGTGGGGGGTGGACTGTTGAGCCAACAGGGACTCAGAGAAGCAAGGGTCAGGGTGACCTGAAATAGAGAAAAAAAATCTCACAAAGGAAGAGGACCTTGACCTGGCTCTCAGAGAATGGGTGGAACTTAGGAGGGAATGAGCCCAGTCTGAATGGTATGTCTACAAAGTATACTATGTGCAGTGATGATTAACTGAAAAATTGGGCTGACCATTTGTGAGATCCATGAATAAGAGTAGATCAGAAAGTCAGTGTGAGTTTTAAATATATATATTTTATTATAAAATGATAATCACATAATATGTGGAGTCACTTGATAACCTTTTCTATTGGTCCTAGTGTTTTGCTATTTAAAATAATACTGCATTAAATATTCTTAGTGTAGCCATCCATTTACAAGTGTTATTCAAGAGCAACATTTATGCCTTTAAGCTGTGATAATTAAATTAATACGGGGGAGAACTGTCAGATATACCACTGTGACAGAACAGATGGCCTAGAGACAGTGATACCTTTAAAAGTTAAATAATTGCTGAGCGTGGTGGCTCACGCTTGTGATCCCAGCACTTTGGGAGGCCAAGACGGGTACGAGGTCAGGAGTTCAAGACCAGCCTGGCCAAGATGGTGAAACCCCCGTCTCTACTAAAAATACAGGCGGGTGCCTGTAATCCCAGCTACTCGGGAGGCTGAGGCAGAGAATTGCATGAACCTAGGAGGCGGAGGTTGCAGTGAGGCGAGATCGCGCCATTGCACTCCAGCCTAGGTGATAGCGAGACTCCGTCTCAAAAAAAGAAAAAAAAAAATTTAAATAATCAAAAATAATTTGGAAGAGAGTACCTTGAAAGACCCATATACCTCTGAGAATTTAGAATGTTATAAAGTGGTATTTCATACCAGTGGGGAAAGAATAAACTCTTCAGTGGTTAATATTAGAAAAAGTTAGTTATATATTTGAGGAAAACTATAAAAGTACCAATAATGGGTAGGAAATCACTTCTACAGTATTTTTGGAGCATTTTCCCTAAGCATGATGTAAAAGCCAAAGGTCACAAGGGAAAAAGCTGATAGATTTGTCTGTGATATTGAGAGATGTATGCACATATACATACAACAGTCTTACAGTAAGACACCATTAGACAAACTGATGGTTTGGAAAAAAATTTCCAACATAAAATAAAACTAATATTTAATTGTTAGAAAATAATAGCAAACAACCTAGTAGAAGAGAACAAAAATATTCATATAAGATAACGTATGTGACCAGTGAATGTATGAAAAGATGACATCACACAAATTCAAATGAAATTATCTTTTTTTTTTTTTTTTTTTTTTTTTTTTGAGACGGAGTCTCGCCCTGTCTCCCAGGCTGGAGTGCGGTGGCCGGATCTCAGCTCACTGCAAGCTCCGCCTCCCGGGTTCACGCCATTCTCCAGCCTCAGCCTCCTGAGTAGCTGGGACTACAGGCGCCCACCACCTCACCCGGCTAGTTTTTTGTATTTCTTAGTAGAGACGGGGTTTCACCATGTTGGCCAGGATGATCTCGATCTCCTGACCTCGTCATCCGCCCGTCTCGGCCTCCCAAAGTGCTGGGATTACAGGCTTGAGCCACCGCGCCCGGCCTCAAATGAAACTATCTTACTACATGTTAGGTTGGCCCAGGAAAAGCCCCTCTCCTTTTTTTTTTTCAAAAAGATGTTTTTCCAATGATCTTGAAGTCATGAAAAAATGAACTTTTATATTTTTGTTAGGAGTACAAATTAAAACAGTTCTTTGTGAGATGAATTTGGCTCTATCTCATAAAAGTTATAAATAAGCAAATCCTTTGGCTAAATAGTTCCTCTTGTAATATATCCTTCAGAGGTACTTAATGCTCTAATATTTGTATACACTGATGTGCATTGCAGTATTTTTGTGATAATGAAATATTGGGAAAAGCCTAAATGTTCAGAGACTGGTTATAGTACATAACAGATTAAAGAATGTGTTATGACTATTAAAAAGAAAAGGTAGGTATGTACTGACATGGAAAGATGCCCATGATAAGTGAGCAAGGCAAGGTGCAGAGCAGTATGCATCTCACATTTGTCAAAACAAATAAATGCATGCTATATATTCACATACCTATGTGTATAATATACACATTGAGTCTTTAAAGTTACGTTTTATGTGAATGTGTACATGAAAAGATTTGAAGGCATACATGCTCATTCAGAGGATACTCCTAGGATTGGGGTGGGAGAGGGGTAGGTGATAAGGGAAGAATGTTCACATCTTTATATAATTTGTTATCTATAGATATATAAAAGAAATATAAATGGTACCACAAGATCTAATTCATTGAGGTGAACGAAGATTGTCAGTTCATAACTTACAAACTACTGGATGGATTAAGGAGTTAAAATAAAAGAAATCTATCAAAATATTTGTTCTTAATTTTTAAACTTAAAAATGAAAGGAAAAAAGTATTTTAAAATGATCCCCAGTGCTGGCCAGAGCGTGAGGCATAGTAAATATTTTTACACACTGCTTGTAGGATTAGAAATTGGCACAACTTGTGCAAAGGGAGTAATTTGGCAATGTATTGAGAGTGTTCTATCTCTTGACTCACTAAGCCCACTTCTGAGAGTCTTAAAGGAATAATAGGAAGCAAGAGTAAAAAATGTTTACACAAAATGTTTTCATTGATTATTAAAGAATATATTGGTGGGAAGTGTGCATTGGATATTTCCAGGGAAGGAGTGGCTAAGTAAATTAAGGTATGCTCATTTGATGGAATCTCTTATATGACTCAAAATGGATGCATATTATAACCTTAACATGGGAAGATTATTGGTTATCATAGTAAAGTTTTTAAAAGAAAAAATCTAAGCTTTGATAGCCATTATGAGCTCACCTCTGTTTAAATGTATTATTTATACAGAGATTAAACTGTTGTAAAAATTAAAGATAGAAAACTAAGACAAACATAAGTACAAAAGTGTTTTCTGAATTTCTGGTTTACCCTAGAGCTGACCTGTAGGGAACAGGTGGGAAAATAGTTAATGACTGTTGTCCCTAATTTATGCCCCAATTTTCTCCATGTGTTGAGTCACAGCTCCCTCCACCCCTATTCACAATTATATACCCACCAGGGACCAGTCTGACTTCCAGAATGGTTTTTGTCCAGCTTGGCTCTACTTAATGTGTTTTACACAATCTGGTTGGCACTAGGTCACGTTGCTTTCTTTAGGTGATATTTTCACTATCATCCTTTTGTTTTATGGAACCTCTGCACTATGAGCCCCAAGATGGGCTTTCTGGATTTACTCATGCAGGTTGGGTATCCCTAATCTGAAATGCTCCAAAATCTGAAACTTTCTGAGTGCCAACATGCCACTAGTAGATGATTCCACATCTGACCTCATGTGACAGGTGAAAAAGAATGTTTAAAATACTATATAAAATTACCTTCAGACTATGTGTATAAGGTGTATATGAAACAAATGAATTTCCTGTTTACACTGGGGTTCCATCCCTAAGATATTCTCGTGCATATGCAAATATTCCAATATCTGAAACACTTCTCATCCCAAGCATTTTGGATAAGGAATACTCAACCTGTAGTAACAATTCTCAGAAGTCTTCAGATACTGTATCTGCTCTGTCCTGGTCACAAAGCAATTCTTTTAGAAACATTATTCTAGAAGCATGATAGCTTACAATTTAATGCCATGATACACTGGCCACTATCACCACTGTCTGATCCTTCACAGGATGTGTCTCCGTGTCCCTCTCAGCCAGAAAGTTTCTGATTCCCACAGGGATCAGTCTCCATATTTACAAATTTTGATGCTTTCTGAAGACTGACTTTACCCTTGAATTTCTGCTCAAAGCTTTGTGCTCTTTCAGTTAGAGGATATTGTTTGCTTAGTGAAAGTACTAGCATCCAGGCCTCTCTTCCCAATAACTGGCTTTCCTGATTCAGGGATCTAGTCTTCAAGCATGCGTGCATATTTATTTATTTATTTGACAGAGTCTCACTGTCACCCAGGCTGGAGTGCAGTGGCACAATCTCCTGGCTCACTGCAACCTCCACCTTACAGGTTCAAGCGATTCTCCTGCCTCAGCCTCCCAAGTAGCTGGGATTATAGGTGTGCACCACTATGGCTGGCTAATTTTTATATTTTTAGTAGGGACGGGGTTTCACCATGTTGGCCAGGCTGGTCTTGAACTTCTGACCTCAAGAGATCCACCCACCTCAGCCACCCAAAATGCTGGGATTACAGGCTTGAGCCACCGTGCCCGGCCTTCTTTTCTTTTCGCCCACAGATGCTACTACCAAACATTTCTTATCTCTGATTTTCTTCTCAGAGCCTCCCTGATGCCTGCCTACACAGTGTTAACGGCTACAGAATGGCTGATGGGCTTTTTCTTTAGGTGAAAGTTGTAGTTACTAGAGAAACCTGGTTTAAGGCTGGTCTACCATCATCCCTTTCTCAGAAGTTACCCTGATTTTAACAGGCTGGTATTTATCTGTCTAGATATTTCCATGCACATTTATAGACATCTGTTTAAAACACACACACAAATGAGAGCACACTCTTCCCAAAAACTATTTCACACTAATGTTTATTTCTGTACCTGTACTATCTTTTTTTTCTTTTTTTGGAGATGGAGTCTCTGTCGCCCAGACTAGAGTGCAGTGGTGCGATCTCAGCTCGCTGCAACCTCCGCCTCTCGGGTTCAAGCAATTCTCCTGCCTCAGTCTCCTAAGTAGCTGAGACTATAGGCGTGCGCCACCATGCCCGGCTACTTTTTTTGTTTTTTGTATTTTTAGTAGAGACGGGGTTTCACTACATTGCCCAGGCTGGTCTCAAACTTCTGACCTCATGATCTGCTTGCCTTGGCCTCCCAAAGTGCTGGGATCACAGGTGTGAGCCACCGCGCCCGGCCTTATCTGTCTCTTTACGATCGTATTGCATTTGGGATCCTATAGTATTACGCCATCTGCCTATTTACCTAATATATATTGAACATCTTTCCATGTCAGTACATGGATCTCTGCTTAATTCATTTGAATGTTCTTCTGTAGTAGTCATACATAATTTATGTTATCATTTTCCTATTGAAGAATAGGTAGGTGTTTTCCAGTTCTTCAGTACTGCAAACACCACTACATTGAACATCTTTGTATCCATGTACAAATACTCTGGCAAGGTACTGTGCTAGCTGTTCAGCCTCATCACCTTTATGAAATTCTCACAGGAGCCTGTGAAGGCTATGGGTAATTTGCCACATTCCACAGATGAGAAAAAGAGGCTAAGAGAGCTTACATGTCTTGCCTGAGGTCTCACAACTCATCAGTGATGGAGCCTAACTGAAGTAAAGGTCTGTCTGACAGCAGAACTCAAGTATTTTCTCTCATACCACGATTTACAATTGCAGTATATGATTGATATATGTGTTTAAACATATAAACCACATGTTTATAAATTACTCATTTTTTTCTTTTCCTTAGATGATTTCACAAAAGTTCATCTTCATTGCAGATACCTGCCTTTCTTTCTAGGTTGTATCTCCCACTTCACCCTTCTAGACCATCCCAGAAGATCTATAAGATTTCATCTGGGAAATCACTAGGAGTTCTTGGAAGGGAAAGAAGGAAGATTGTGTAAGTCAAAGGAATTGTTTCCTCTGTCACACCGTAAGAATAATGGAAGACTATTTTTGCATCCTTTTCTCACTAGCACTCCCTGCTGCACTTTACACTGTAGATTATACCTGTTTCTTCTTGGAACGCTCATCTTCTTTGGCATCCAAAATGATATTATTCTAATTCTGTTATGGCTACTCTTAAAATTTTTGTTTCATTTGTGGTCTCTATGCATCCCTTAAATGCCTTTCGTCCTTACGTTTTCCAGAATTCCATACTTGAAGTTCTTCCTCTCTTCTCCCTGATTTCATTGGCCCTCGTAGTGTCTACTACCAGCTATGTGATGTTTACTCTCAGATCTCCATTTCTGGCTTTTACTTCGCACCCGAGCTTTAATTTTGTGTGTGTGTGTGTGTGTGTGTGTGTGTGTGTGTGTGTTGGGGGAGGTACCCAGTTAGCTGGACGAAACTGAGCTTTATAATTTTATGTTTAACTGTACACCTCACACGCAATAGGCCCAACACAACTTTTCCTTCAATCCATTTTCTCCTCCTGTAAATGGAGTATTATCATTTGGTGATAATACTAATGACCTAATCACCCATACCTGGGAGTCATCACTGACTCCTCCCTCACCAATCTTTTTTTTAGCTTCTTCAACAATCACTGACGGTGGTGTCATGTACCATTTCTTGTATCTGCTCCCAAGCCATTTTGTGCCTATAACTATCATTATACTAACCTTATTGTTTTATAATTGTCACTTTAGATATTTGGATCTCTAGCACCTACCATAGTACCTGTCCCAAAGCAGATATGCAGTAATATATAATGACAAACTGAATAGATTAATGAATGGATGAATTACCTATGTTCTGTCATTTTATTTCTGATTCCAAACTAAACCCTAAATTCAGTGCTTTTATTAAATTCTTTAATTACCCAGGTTTGAAATTGCAGATTCCTCCCTCCTTTGTTTACTATATTCTTAATGATTTCTGTATTCTTCAGTTTCTCTTGCCTCTGTCATCATCCTAGTTCAGACCTTTCTGGACTTACACAAGAACCTTTACTGTTATTCATTTTGCCCTTAGTCAACTAAGTATAACCTTCCCTATTCCATATTGTCATTTCTCCTGTTCAGAAGTCTTAAATTTCAACTCCACTGCCTTTTATAGTTTCTTTTTCATTTAATTCCTTCTTTCTTTAAAATTGCTTTCCTATCTTGTGAGTGGCATCAACAGAGTAATTTGTGGGTAGATGTGATGAGTATTTGGGTGAGATGAGAGTAGTGGCTGGTAGTGAGGATCAGAGAGAGGGAAAGGAGGTAAAAAAAAAAAAATCACTTATAAAGAGTCCTGAAATGGGATTTGAAATCCAGATTTTAAGGGAGTTAGAATGTGTTATGCTCTGATGGGCCTTTATGAAACATAAAGGTTGCCATAGAAAACAACCAAGTAAAATATTTTATATATTACAGTGGTTGGAATAAAAACAGGGTTGAATGAGTTCCAGAAAGCAGGGTTCTCAACCTCGTGGACAGCAATCTGCAGAAGAAGAGAACTTCAAAAAACCAACTAGAAGCAACATGCAGAGAAGTAAGATGAGAGGGGCCTCCTCGGGAAAGAAGACAGCTGGTCCACAGCAGAAAAATCTTGAACCAGCTCTCCCAGGAAGATGGGGGGGTCGCTCTGCAGAGAATCCCCCTTCAGTATCCGTGAGGAAGACCAGAAAGAACAAACAGAAGACTCCTGGAAACGGAGATGGTGGCAGTACCAGCGAAGCACCTCAGCCCCCTCGGAAGAAAAGGGCCCGGGCAGACCCCACTGTTGAAAGTGAGGAGGCGTTTAAGAATAGAATGGAGGTTAAAGTGAAGATTCCTGAAGAATTAAAACCATGGCTTGTTGAGGACTGGGACTTAGTTACCAGGCAGAAGCAGCTGTTTCAACTCCCTGCTAAGAAAAATGTAGATGCAATTCTGGAGGAGTATGCAAATTGCAAGAAGTCGCAGGGAAATGTTGATAATAAGGAATATGCAGTTAATGAAGTTGTGGCAGGAATAAAAGAATATTTCAATGTGATGTTGGGCACTCAGCTGCTCTACAAATTTGAGAGGCCCCAGTATGCTGAAATCCTCTTGGCTCACCCTGATGCTCCAATGTCTCAGGTTTATGGAGCACCACACCTACTGAGATTATTTGTAAGAATTGGAGCAATGTTGGCCTATACGCCCCTTGATGAGAAAAGCCTTGCATTATTGTTGGGCTATTTGCATGATTTCCTAAAATATCTGGCAAAGAATTCTGCATCTCTCTTTACTGCCAGTGATTACAAAGTGGCTTCTGCTGAGTACCACCGCAAAGCCCTGTGAGCGTCTACAGACAGCTCACCATTTTTGTCCTGTATCTGTAAACACTTTTTGTTCTTAGTCTTTTTCTTGTAAAATTGATGTTCTTTAAAATCGTTAATGTATAACAGGGCTTATGTTTCAGTTTGTTTTCTGTTCTGTTTTAAACAGAAAATAAAAGGAGTGTAAGCTCCTTTTCTCATTTCAAAGTTGCTACCAGTGTATGCAGTAATTAGAACAAAGAAGAAACAGTAGAACATTTTATTGCCTAGTTGACAACATTGCTTGAATGCTGGTGGTTCCTATCCCTTTGACACTACACAATTTTCTAATATGTGTTAATGCTACGTGACAAAACGCCCTGATTCCTAGTGCCAAAGGTTCAACTTAATGTATATACCTGAAAACCCATGCATTTGTGCTCTTTTTTTTTTTTATGGTGCTTGAAGTAAAACAGCCCATCCTCTGCAAGTCCATCTATGTTGTTCTTAAGCATTCTATCTTTGCTCAAATTGTTGAAGGATGGTGATTTGTTTCATGGTTTTTGTATTTGAGTCTAATGCACGTTCTAACATGATAGAGGCAATGCATTATTGTGTAGCCACGGTTTTCTGGAAAAGTTGATATTTTAGGAATTGTATTTCAGATCTTAAATAAAATTTGTTTCTAAATTTCAAAGCAAGTAATTTGCAGTGTGCCTTTCATGTTACTGAGGCTGGTATTCTGTGGTTATTGTAGAAATTTTAGAAAACATAGTAAGAACAAATGCAAATAAGAATTGTGTAATTCTGCTGGATCATTCAAGATCCAAGCAATAAATAAATGGAACTCAAAAATGGATGATTTGACGAGAGTTAAAGAATTTTTTCCCTGAGTTGTCACCAGAGGGGTAGGGTTGTGGTGTATATTAGCTGGCTCAGGCTGCCATAACAAAGTACCAGAGACTGAGTGGCTTAAACAATAAATTTATTTTCTCACAGTTCTGGATGTTGGAAGTCAGATCAAGGTGTTGCCAGAGGATTTTTTTTGAGGCCTCTCTCTTTGGCTTCTACACAGCTGTCCTCCCTGTCATCACATGGCCTTTTTCTCTGTATCTGTGTCCTAATCTCTTCTAAGGACACTAGTCACTGGATTAGGACCCACCCCAATGACCTCATTTAATTTAGCTATCTCTTTAAAGACCCTATTTCCAACTACAGTCACATGCTGAGGTATTGGGGATTAGGACTTCAACATGAATTTGGTGGGTGTGGGGAGGGGTGGGTGCACAATTCAGGGCATAACATAGTGTTACTACCCCTCTGCAAAGGAGACGAGAGGAAAGGAAGTGGGGAGGAGCAGAGGGAGTGGGAGGTAAGGGAGGGGTTACTGGAATGGTATACAGCTGTGTGGAAAGGTCCATCTGACAGTAGCTGTAATCTTCAGGATGCAGTCAGCTCACAGCAACCCTGAAAGAGAAAATGAAATGAGAGGGAATAAATGCTTGACTTCGCGCTCTTCCGAACATCTGCTAGGTATTTCTCTTGGCCAAATTGGAAGCTGGAGGGCAAGGAAGACCTTTTGTATAGTCTATGTTGGTAAGTGTGGGGGACACAGAGCAGGAAGGAAAGTAGATGGTGGGGAGGGGGCCGGAGGAGGGTGGTTGTGGGTGGTGAGTGGGAGGAGGACAAACGGGAGATACAAGCACACACCTGAAATAGTTAATACTTTACCATATATTCTTGGAATTATGTGTATACATAAATATTTGTAATAAAGATCACACAACTTTTTTTTTTTTAACAAATTTGGATCAGATTATATGTATGGTTTTCTAAGTATTTTTCTCCCCAAATTGATATACAAAGGAAATTCAAGGCTAATAAAACTAGTTTATTTTTAAATGACCTAAAACATGAAAATGGAAAAATTCTGAGATTGGAAATTAAGGAGAAGTTGCCACATAGAAAAATTTGTTATAAAATGGTACCCTAAAAGTGTATTTTGGACACCAAAACAAATCAGGGTAACAGAATGGAAATATCTGTATCTGTGTATATGTGTTTAATTTGTTAGATATGTTAGAGGGAATATTTGAATTAGTGAAAGGATGGGATAGTCAAAATATTTGAGGGGAATGTTAGATCTTTTGCTTTACACTTTATTCCAAAGTACATTCCAAATGAATTAAAGATTTACATTTGATAAGTGAAACCATAGATTGTTTGTTTAAAATGAAGGATATTTTATCATGGCTCAGATGACCTTTCTAAATATTATTGACAGGATACCTACAGGAAAAGGTGGATAGATTTTCATACATAAATACTTTAAATAACTTTATTATAAAACAACATGAGAGGAATTATTAGGCATGCAACACAGAACAGAATAATCACAACGCATAAATACAAATTGTTAATATCTTTAAAATTTAAAGGATTTTTTTACAAGTTATAAGAGACAAGGGAGATAGGCCATAGATGCACATAAGCTAATTTTGAAAAGAAATGCAAATTGCAAGTAAACAGGTTCATTTTCCCGAGACATAAATACTTAAAATAATGAAGTATTTTCTACCACTGTTGTCATCCCCCTTGCAATAGGTGCTAGTAAGTTATTGAACATACTTTTAGGTGTCTAGTCAATATATTGTCAGAGTAGTAGAAACCAGGCTAGGTTGTAGGCTGGCTACATTGTGACCATCACACCATCAAGTGATGACTAGACCCATCAGGTGTCAATTATTCTTCCCCAAATTCTGGACTGTTTTGGTTATGGTGTAGACAGAGAGGGGGAGTGGCAGGAGAAAGGATCAATGTAAAGAAGAAAGGAGGTTTGATAATTATATGCAGCCCATTGATTACTGAACCTAATTATCACATTTCTCTAACACTGGTACACAGCACATAGAAGTTGCTCATTAAATGTGCATTCAATGACGACTACGTCTTAGACCTTGCATCTTAGTGAATACTTCATTTAAATAGGCAAATCCCTGGCGTCAGATGGCTGAAATGATTCAAATTTTGCATTAGTGAATGATAGGTGACCAGATGGGCAGGCTTGGGGCCTCTCATCCTCATGTCCTCTGTGGAATCTAGGACCTAGCCAACTAACTGAGTTCTTGACCCCTATCCCATTAAGAAGACAGTTGTAACATAGCCCACGATATTCATGAAAACATTCCAAAAGAAAATAAGGATTTGTTAAGGTAAGTTTGAATAGGAGGCCTACCAAACAGATATGGATCTTAGTTCACACCCTTCAGCATATAAGAAATGTCACATTTTCAAAGCACCTTTAAATGAATATAAATATGACTCTGATATCCAATCCTAGCATGCTAGTGGGAAATCCACATCAGTTATTACTGGGGATTCCTCATCTCCATTAGTTGTACAGGCATTCTATGGTCTTATCTAGCACCAAAGCCTGAGGAGATCCCTGCTGTCTTCAGCTGTCTGTCCACACTGATTAGGGATGAGGTGCTCATTTACTGAACTGGCATGGTATCTTCAGATCCCTTGTCCCTGCTGCTTCTATCCAACCCTCTGGGTAGTGGAATGTTTGCCAAGACCAGGTGACCAGCTTCCCCCGGCCCATCACAGAGTCTTCTTTGGGTCCTGATACAGAGAAATGCTCATGTCTCTGCTACTGAAAGGAAGTATAGACCCTGACCTCTATTCTCTTGCTGCCCTAAAATGCCCTCCATTCCCATCCAGGGACATCTGGCTTGACTTCATCAATGAATATAATCCTTTTCAGAATATATGGGCTGGGCACAGTAGCTCACGCCTGTAATCCCAGCACTTTGGGAAGTCACAGGAGGATTGCTTGAGGCTAGGAGTTCAAGACAAGCCTGAGCAACATAGCAAGACCTAATTTCTTTTTTTTTTTTTTTTTTTGAGACGGGGTTTCGCTGTGTTGCCCAGGCTGGAGTGCAGTGGCCGGATCTCAGCTCACTGCAAGCTCCGCCTCCCAGGTTCACGCCATTCTCCTGCCTCAGCCTCCCGAGTAGCTGGGACTACAGGCGCCTGCCACCTCGCCCGGCTCATTTTTTGTATTTTTAGTAGAGACGGGGTTTCACTGTGTTAGCCAGGATGGTCTCGATCTCCTGACCTCTGATCCGCCTGCCTTGGCCTCCCAAAGTGCTAGGATTACAGGCGTGAGCCACCGCGCCCAGCAACATGCATGTTAATATATATTTCTCTTTATTTTTTTAGAGAAGTGGGGTCTCACTCTGTCACCCAGGCTAGAGTGCAGTGGTGCCACTATAGCTCGCTGCAACTTTGAACTCCTGGGATCAAGGGATCCTCCTGCCTCAGCCTCTCAAGTAGCTGGAACTGAGGATGTATGCCACTAAGGCTGGCTAATTTTTTTGTTGTTGTTGTTTTGTAGATGGGGGTCTTGCTATGTTGCCCAGGCTGATCTCAAACTCCTGGCCTCAAGCGATCCACCTCAGCCTCCTACGTAGCTGGTAATATCTCAAAAACTGATAATTTAATATGTCCCAGTTAAATGTATAGGTAGTTTCTTTTAGTTTGGATGATTTATTCTTGTTAATTGTTTCATTAAAAAAAAAATCTTAGGAATATTCAGGAAAGTCATAAAGTACTTTATTAGGTCCAAAACTAGGCCATCCTATTGATTTTAAAAAGGGGGCAGTTATAATAAGTGGACCCAAATTCACATATGGACTCTGTTGATTTAGCAAGTTTCTCTATTTTAATACTATAGAGATGATGTTGCTTTATCTATCCAGACATCTAGATGGTTTCCCTTCTAAAACTGAAGGGCAATTTAAAGAGTATATTTACCCCCATGACATTCAGTGCCTAGTTAACAAGGTGGGTCCATAACAAATAGCTGTTATAACTGTTATTTATTATTGTTATCAATGTCTTCGTCATCAACAAGAATAATCCTTTTCATTCAGGAGAATGTATGTGGATTGGTATGGAAGCATGTTGTGAAATAAGTTGCATGACACTCATAAAACACCTGAAAAGGAAAGTAGTTAGTAAATGTAAGGTTTGTCTTGCTTACAGCAAGTTTTTGACATAGAATAAATGTTCAGAAATTACAATTCTCTTTCCTTCCTCCCTTTCCAAAAGGAAAGGGTAAACAATATATTCCTAAGATCTGTAGTTCTCAGCCTGAGGTCCCCAGACTCTTAAGGGTCTTTGAAGATACCATTAAGAATTGAAGAGCTCTCTTCTCTTTCCATATTGTCTCTTCTTTCTTTCTTTCTTCCTTTTTTTTCTTCCTAATTCATTATGGAGGTAATACTTAGCTGAACTTTTTCTAGAATCAAATGAGATAATATATTTAAAAGTGTATTATTAACTATGAATTGTGGCCGGGCGCGGTGGCTCACACCTGTAATCCCAGCACTTTGGGAGGCTGAGGCGAGTGGATCACGAGGTCTGGAGATCGAGACCACGGTGAAACCCCGTCTCTACTAAAAATACAACAAATTAGCTGGGCGCGGTGGTGGGCGCCTGTAGTCTCAGCTGCTCTGGAGGCTGAGGCAGGAGAATGGCGTGAACCCGGGAGGAAGAGCTTGCAGTGAGCCGAGATCGTGCCACTGCACTCCAGCCTGGGCGACAGAGAGAGACTCCGTCTCAAAACAAAACAAAACAAAACTATGAGTTGTAATAATAATGATGATTAATAGTTAGCTTGCTTATACAAATGTCAATAATCAGAAGTTGTATATACATGTATGTAAGTTATATATATATTTTTGTATATATATTTGTATATAAGTTGTGTGTGTATATATACATATCTCTCCAAAATATAAAAAAATATGTATAAGGAAGAGGATAGAAGTTAGAGATGCTCTAAATTTTGTTTAAAAAATATAAAGTTAGATAAATAATTTAGAAAAGTCTACCAGATGTGGTGGTGTGCACCTGTGATCCTAGCTGCTTGGGAGGCTGAGGCAGGAGGCTCTCTTGAGCCCACTAGTTCGAATACAGCCTTGGCAACATAGCAAAACCACAACTTAAAAAAAAAAAAAGAGGCCAGGCATGATGGCTCATGCCTGTAACCCCAGCACTTTGGGAGGCCGAGGCAGGTGGATCATCCGAGGTCAGGAGTTCGAGACCAGCCTGGCCAACATGGCAAAACCCCATCTCTACTAAAAATACAGAAACTAGCCCAGTGTGGTGGTGTGCACTTGTAATCCTAGCTACTAGGAAGGTTGAGGCAGGAGAATTGCTTGAACCCAGGAGGTGGAGGTTGCAGTGAGCTGAGATCATGCCACTGCACTCCAGCCTGGGCAATACAGCAAGACTCCATCAAAAAAAAGAAAGAAAGAAAGAAAGAAAGAAAACAATCTTAGGATAAGCACTACAAGATTAAAAATGGAATATGTGTCTTAAGCCATTTTGTGCTACTATAACAGAATACCACAGACTGGATAATTCATAAATAGAGATTCATTTCTTATGTTTCTGGA